TCTTTTTTGTTCTCGATCCTATGTACGCGCTGAACTAGCCTAATGGCAGGAAAAAACATCGAACATGCTTTGTTCTCATCAAACTAATGTTTAATTTTTTAGTGTGCAAGGGATCCAGCGATATACACACGTAACTTGTAGTTCTTACGAGGCCAGGGACCAAACGTGTTTCAGTATGTGTGACATCGTTACAAACTACGATATTCAGCGTAAACCAACTGTATTCAGTTAAAGAAAGTTTCTCCTCTCTCACAAATAGAAGAATGAAAATACAAGCAAATTATTAAAAACATTTGCCCATAAAGCGGCGCTCAAAAATGAGGCGAAAATTCACCACAGACGTCATCTAGTTTACATTGCTTTATGAGCTTTCCTAGGTTTTTATAACTCTCGCGCGTGAGATTAAAACCCAGTCTGCACGCCATAAAAACAGCCTACTGAACAGGTGGATTAGCGGTAAACAAGCGCGCGCGGAGCGCGAGAACGAGCGCTAAGCGCGAGGTGAGGAAAAAATTAACGGTTCTTCTTTTTCGTCTCGCGCTATGCGTGTACGGTTATAAAACGAAAATTTCTTTTCTTTAAGAATGAAAACCTTACGAAATATACATATTAACAAAATTCGGCGCAACAACTACCCTGGGCCCAAGTCTGCGCATTTGTTAATGCTGTAGACTACGAGTAGTCCCTCTTTCGCTTAGTCCGTCGTGCGTGACGTGAAAGAAAACCGCGGGAAAAAATGGCCGCGCGAAATCCTGGAGTTGAGAAGCACGCGAAAGGAGGGACTATTTGTAGTCTATTATTGCTGCATGTGTCCAAGTAACGTGTGAGATCGTTGCAATTTTGCCGACCGGTTTTGAGGAAAGTCTATGCAACGGCAAAAGAAATGCGAATGTGCGAATGTTGAAACAAATAGGAGGGATAAATGAGCTTTGTAGGATTCCTTCCGTCGTTTTGTCAACAAAGGAAGACGTGCTTCTGCTGATTGGCGAAGCGAATTACAAGCTTGTTTTCGGAAGACAGCGGAGGACTTTTTGGATGCAAAATTCCAAAACATGTTATAGAATGAAGATTTTCCGCTAAACAATTATGTCACGCTTATTGCAGTTGACGAGTGCCACACCGTGTAACACCTTAAGAATATCTTCTCCGCAGATATGTAAGACGTCTCGCCAAGATTCCACGAGCGAATAGCAAAAGAACTAGTGCATATCCTACGGAAATCAGAAAGACCGCTTGATATCGGCTTCTCCCCTTTTAGCAGCTTTTTCTCGAGTTGAAGAGGTCGTCTGAGAGGACATTTTCGACACGAACACATGTACGTGATGTTGTTTGCAAACTGATACTTGTAATCAATTAAACAAGCAATTTACCGCTCAAATTTCATA